TTGGCTAATCTTCTGCCTATGTAAGTAATAAGCTGTCTGAATCAAAAGGTGCTTGTTGTATCTTTACCGGCTGAATCTGTTGGGCCTTGGCCTTGGTTGCTGTGTGTTTGCCACCTTGCAGACCTGGTTTTTGGTTATGCAGCTCCTCAATTCCATGACTTGGCTGAAGATTGTGGCCCTCTCTATCCACTCTCCCTCCCTCCTCCCTTCTCCACCCTGTTCTCTGTCCTGGGAGACTGGCCCCAGTGGAATGCAAAACCCTCTGGCTTCCTGTTGGGTTTAGCAGATGGGAGGGACTGGCAGGAGATCCAAGGGCAGGAAAGGGAATTCAAGGTACTTATTTTTCTGGTTTCCTGCCTGCTGGGCTGTGCGTTTGCAGCTTTCCTCATCTGAAGATCCTTGGCAGGTGGCCCCTTCCTCTGTTGCTCCCCTTGTGCCTTCAGGCCTGGCAGTGAGCAGTGCTGTCACCAGCCCCAAGTACTGCACCACCTCTAGTTTCCCTTAAGTCTGACCATCCTTTCATAAAGACGTCCTTCTTTAAGATCACTTCAGCTACCATTGTGTGCCCACCTCTGCCCCCGCCAGCTGCTGACAGACACAGTGGCATACGTCTGCACTCACTTAGTAAATCCCCTCTTGTTTGGCTGGCCAGAGTTAGTGTTTGTGCTTGCAACCAAAAGATCCATTCAGTATGGAGAAGGCAGATGAAAGAGCAGTTCATTATGTGGAGTTGGCATTTAAGCTGAAAGAAGTGGAATACAGGCAGAGGAGAAGAGTTTTGGGGGGTCTAGTCCACAGAGGGATGCTGCAGCCAGAGCTGGACCTGCAGAGGGGGTGGAGGCTAGACCATGGAGGACCACTGATACTATCTTAGTGTATACTAACTTTGTTCTGTAGTAATGACAGCGTGGGAGTGGGAGAGTCTGCCCAGGGAGAAAATACTAGCTGACAGAAAGGAGGTCAGAGGATGGAACAGCAGAACTTAAGGAAGCAGCTTAGACAACGTTGCCAAAGAACTGTAGAAATGATAGAGAACTGGGAGGGAGTGCCAGCAGTAAAGATCATGGAAGCCAAAGCTTTCCAACAGAGAAGGTGTGCCCCGTAGTGCCGTGAAAACCCAGCCTCAGCAGGAAAGGCCTGAGGAATATTAGATTCTTGGTGGCCTTGGAGGAAGCCATGTCTGTGGACTAGCATGGGAGACAGACTGCAGGGGGTTACATAGTATGTGAGGAAGAAGTAAAGGCAATCACTGCTGATTCTTGTTTTAAGCAGCTGGACAGGGAAGGGAAGAAAACTGGGTCATGAGTTTGAGAGAAGGTGGGATTAAGAGAAGGCATTTTTAGGACAGAGGAGGCTACAACTTGTCCTACAGAAATACGTGAGCCACATGTGTAGGTTGAAGTTTTCTAGGGGTCACGTATTAGACATTTTAAGGCATAGGTCACCTAGCGTTCACATCTTGGCTCCTAATAGCCATTCTCCAATGAAGAGGAAGCAGGGCTCCTTGGAGAAATAGCTGGTTCTAGGACTGGGGCAGGAAATACCCTGAGCCATAAGCCGCTTGGAGTGCCAGGAAGCACTCACAAACAAAGGTGTGCAAAACCCCTACAATAATAGAGGCCTTTCAAAGGGACATGGGAGCCCATTGAAAGCACTCCTAGTGGCCAAAATGGGAAAAATGTGAGCGACAAAATAAAATAGTACAGGTTTCCCCGCTATCAGAAAGTAGAGTGTTTCTGTGAGATCTGTCATTAGCTGAAGTGGAGTAATGAGAATCAGCAATTACCATTACTTTATATGGAAACATTTTTTAGTGCTACCAGACCCCCCAAATTAACTGCTTTTAAGCTTTTCTTACCTTTGGATAAACCTTGCAAATGAATGCACACAGTCAATCGAGATAAAGCACAGTTCAGAGCTACGGAGGCTTGATGCTGAGATGCTGCGTTTGTAGATCTTGGGGAAGGAGCTTGGCAGCGTCACTCTCACTGGGGTGCGTGCTGCCTCTACAAGGGCTTGCGGCAAAACAATACTATTTTTACTTTTCCCCTTTTCTCATAAAAGTGAAAATCCTCTTAGGATTTCTTTCAGTTAACAAAAACAGGTACTACTCTAGGTCTTTCGTAAAAGTGAAGTGGTGTAATGCAAACTTTCAAAAAGGGGGGATAGGGGTGCCTGGGTGCTCAGTGGAGCATCCAACTCTTGATCTCAGCTCAGGTCTTGATCTCAGGGTGGTGAGATCAAGTCCCACATTGGGCTCCACACTGGGTGTGGAGCATACTTAAAAAAAAAAAAAAAAAAGCAAAGGATACCTGTACTGGATTACAACTCAAAAGTATAAAGTAAATATCCATGAGTCCATACTGATAAACGATTGGCTAATTAAATAAATCTGGGACAAGAGAGCATTCTGCAGAAGAATTCCAAATAATTTATGTAGCTACTTTGCCCTCAAAGAGGTAGAGTATAATCCCCTACTCCTTAAAGGGTGGGCTGTGCATAGTGACTTCTTTCCAGAGGGAACAGAGGGATAAAGACTAGTTTGCAGTGGAGAAGTGTGAATCTTAGCCAGGTGATCAAGGTTAACATCAACAGTGAAGGTCATGTTGATACTATATGCCCTTGATGTGATCTGATGAGGATGGTACTTTACCTGTAGTCTTCCAAAAACCCATAAGCCCAATCTGATAATGAGAAAAAAATTTTTAGAAAAATCCCAAATGAGAGACATTCTACAAAACACTGACCAGGATTCCTCAACACCATCAAGGTCATCAAAAATCAGGAAAGTCTGAGAAATTGTCACAGTCAAGGAGACGTGACAACTGAATTTAATGTGGTGTCCTAGATGAGCCTTCCGAACAGAAAATGGACATTAGGTAAAAGCTAAGAAAATCTGAGTCAACTGTGGACTTTATTAATATTGATGCACTTGTTAACCACTCACCTGAAGGAGTGGGGATTGGGATTGTTTTAGGATGGGTTAACTGGCACAGCTGGCTGTCCAGCTGTCCATACCAGTTTGTGCTCCATTCATTCACTTCTTCACTCGTGCAACAGATGTTAGGTCCTTACTGTAAGAAGAACACTGGTTTAGGAGGCACGGATAAATGAGTGTCAAACAGGATTTGCCCTCTTGGAGACAGAATAAATCATAACTACATATGGAACAGGTGCTGTGAAAATAAAATAGATGTTACTCAGTTGGGGGTGGGGTTTCCACTCAAAGATCACTATTAACCAACCTAGAGCCACAGGACTGGATTAAACGTTTAAACAATTTTGACATAGACTAGAGTCAGTTCCCTTGCAAAATGCTTGCTGATGTGCTGTTGGCAATACAGAGAGTGTACAGGCAGGAGTATTCTGGTCCATTGAGGCCTGTCTACTTGAATGCTTGAAGTACACATGTACTGGATTTACTCAACTTAATGTGTATCAGTAACCACATGGATGCTGGGGACAGAGGCAAATCCTACAAAATCCTTGTTCTCCCAGAGGTCAGCTGGGGAAACTTTCCTATAAATGAATTATTACAGTGCACGAAAAGCCAGCCGTTTGGAAACAAAGCACTCTTCCTCACAACACGTGCCAAACTGAATTCTAAACTGTTAAAGATTTAAGTGTGAAAAAATGAAGGCATAGTGATTGCTATTTGTAAAGATGTGAAGAAGAGGTTTCTAAGTATGACATCAAAGCCAGAAACCATAATTTAAAAAAATGAAAACACGTCCAAAATAAGCCACATTAAAAAGCAACAGTCAACTGTAGAAAAATATACCTAAGACGAGGTATATATTGTTAATATACAAAGGACACTAAGAGATGGTAGAAGAGTGACCAAAAGACATTAACGTGTTAGAATGCAAAGGATCAATGAACACAAAATATTCAAGCTCTATAACAAATTAAAACAGCAGGAAAATCCCATTGCCTATCTGACTGGCAGAGAGTGGAAGAAAAAAAAGGGAAGAGGTACGAAAAGGAGGGGAAAACGCTCTCCCAGCGCTCCACCTCACACAGGCCCTGGGAGCCCTGGAAGGGCACCGGGATTTCCGGGTCGGAACTTCCGTGCCCTTTGGCCCGGAAGTGCGGGCGGACAGGGCGGTGCCGAGGCGGGCGTGCTTCGCGACAGAGCCGTAAAGGCGCGTGGGAGCGAAGCATGGCGCTGTACGCGACGGCGGCGTCTGTGCTGGCGGGTGTGGAAAGCCGACGGGGCTCCATCAAGGGGCTGGTGTACGCCAGCAGCTTCCAGGTAGCGGGGTTCGTGGTTCGTGGTTCGGGCCCGGCGCGGGGGGAGAAGGGGGCTGCGGAGGGGGGCCAGCCGGCCCGGCCCCGCCTCAGCAGGTGTTCTTTCGGCCGCGCGCAGAACGTGAAGCAGCTGTACGCGCTCGTGTGCGAGACGCAGCGCTACTCCGCCGTGCTGGACGCCGTGATCGCCAGCGCCGGCCTCCTCCGCGCCGAGAAGAAGCTGCGGCCGCACCTGGCTAAGGTAGCGGGGCCGGGGGGCGGGGCGGGGCTGCGAGCCTCTCCGGACCTGGTCTCAGCGCCGTACGGTCCACGGCGTGACTTCAGCAAGTCGCCTCTGTGAAATGGGGATGAGCAGTCTCTAGCCGGGTCTTTATTTGAGGTCGGATGAAAGTGCTGTACCTTTGATCCTCGTGTGGCAATTAAGAACAGAATTGCTAAGTAGCCACGGCGGGGACTCTAGCTAAAACAAAAGGGTGGTGTTGACAAGGAAGAGGGTTAGGATCCGGGGCTCTGCTGGTGAGCAGCCCTGGGGAGACGGTGTGGGACAGGGAAGCAAGACACAGGGCTCAGCTCCCGTGTTTGCCGGTAATCTTTTGTGTGGTCTTGCGCAAAATACCTCACTTTAACCTGTTACTGCCTCGATAAGTGGCTTGGTTAGCGCCTCCAGTTCCGACGCTATACTTAGGGTTTTTTCTTGTTCTTTCCCCATCCCCAGGTGCTAGTGTATGAGTTGTTGTTGGGGAAAGGCTTCCGAGGGGGCGGGGGCCGATGGAAACCTTTGCTGGACCGGCACCAGGCAAGGCTGAAGGCTGAGCTGGCCCGGCTCAAGGTTCAGCGCCGTGTGAGCCGCAACGAGGATCTGTTGCAAGTGGGATCCAGGCCTGGCACAGGTGAGCTGGAAGGAGTTGTTGGGAGGAGGGTAGCTCTCGGGCCCTCAGAGGAGAGGGCCTCGATCCTGCTCACTCACTGCTGATTCCTAGCCTCCCAGGTGCCTCGATTTGTGCGGGTGAACACTCTCAAGACCAGCCTTGATGATGCAGTCGATTACTTCAAGAGGCAAGGTTTCTCCTATCAGGGTCGGGCTTCCAGGTGAGCTGAGAACCCTGCCTGGCTCCCTTCCTCTCTGGGGAGGTCCCTGGGGCCACTGGGAAACAGGGATCTGGAGGAGGAGAGAGGAGGGGTGGTGGTGACTGCACTGGTTTTCTCGTACTTTTCCAGCAGTTTCTCCCTCTCCTTCCAAGGCCTGGCTTTCTCCATCCCTTAACATTGATTCTCCTGGGAGTTCCATCTTACGTTCTTCTAATGTATCCATTTCTCTTGCTCTGACTCCTGTTTCTCCCCTGATGATTCATGTCTCCCAGTCTAGATTTCTCTCTGTATTCCCACCCTTAGTGTTCCTCAGACAGCGCAGCCACAGCGAGTGCCGGACTAAATTCATCTTCTCTCTGAACTTTGCACCTTCTTCTTTTTTAATTGTTAAATCCTGTTTATTCAAAATTCAAGACTTAGGAGAAATCCTTCCAAAACAGTGTGCTTAAACACACATTACTAGATTATTTTGTGGTGGTTTTGTTTTTTTCTGAGGTATAATTGACATGTAACATTAATTTTAGGGAGACAGTGTGATGACTTGATATGTGTGTATGTTGCAAAATAATGGCTACAATAAGTCTACCATTTATCACTACATGTAATTACAGAAAGTTTTTTTTCTTGCGATGAGAACTTTTTTTTAGGGGTGGGAGGGGCAGAGGGAGAGGGAGAGTCTCAAGCAGGCTCCATACCCTGTGTGGAGTCCGAAGCAGGGCTCAGGTCGATCTCACAACCCTGAGATCATGACTTGAGCCCGTATCAAGAGTCAGACGCTTCCCGGACTCAGCCACCCAGGTGCCCCCTCTTGTGATGAGAACTTTAAAGATCTCTTAGCATCTTTCAAATATACAGTACAGTATTTATTATAGTCACCATGTTGTGCACTAGATTCCTGGGACTTATGTATCTTATAACTGGGATTTTATACCTTTTGACTACCTTTACCCCTTTTGCAGTTCCCCTCCCCACAGTCATAAATCTGTTCTCTGTATTTATGAGTTGGTTTTTTTGTTTTCTTTTTTTTTTTTAAAGAGAGTCCATATATGAGTGAGAACATACAGCATTTGTCTTATATTCACTTAGCATAATATTCTCAAGGTCCATTCATGTGGTTGCAAATGGCAATATTTTATTTTTTGTGGCTGAATATTTGTGTGTGTACACGTGTGTATATAGTTACATGTTTTCTTTATTCATCTAACAGTTGACATTTAGGTTGTTCCATGTCTTGGCGATTCTAAATCTGCAGTAAACAGGGTCTGGATATCTTTTTTTTTTTTTTAAGATTTTATTTATTTATTTGAGAGAGAGAATGAGATAGAGCATGAGAGGGGGGAGGGTCAGAGGGAGAAGCAGACTCCCCGCCGAGCAGGGAGCCCGATGCGGGACTCGATCCCGGGACTCCAGGATCATGACCTGAGCCGAAGGCAGTCGCCTAACCAACTGAGCCACCCAGGCGCCCTGGATATCTTTTTGAATTAGTGTTTTCCTTTTCCTTGGATAAATACCTAGAAATGGAATTGCTGGATCATATGGTAGTTCTAGTTTTAATTTTTTGATGAACCTCTATACTGTTTTCCACAGTGGCCTCACCAGTTTACACTCCCACCAACAGTGCAAGAGGGTTCCCTTTTCCCACATCCTCACCAACACTTGTTGTTTCTTGTCTTTTTGGTAATAGCCATTCTGACAGGTGTGAGGTGAGAGCTCATTGTGGTTTTGATGTGCATTTCCCTGATGACTCATGATGTTCAGCTCCTTTTCATGTACCTGTTGGCCCTCTGTCTGTCTTTGGAAAAACTGTCTTTGTCCAGTTTCATTCTTTTGCTCGTGGCCTCCATTTTCCCAAAACCATTATTGAAGGGACTGTTTTTTCCCTGTTGTATATTCTTGGCTCCTTTGTCATAAATTAATCGACCATATAAGTATGGGTTTATTTCTGGGCTCTCTATTTTGTTTCATTGATCTGCGTGTCTGTCTTACGCCAGTACCAATACTGTTTTGATCTCTATAGCTTTGTAATATAGTTTGAAATCAGGGAGCGTGAGATCTCTAGCTTTCTCAGGATTGGTCTGGCTACTCGGGGTCCTTTGTGGTTCCATACAAATTTTAGGATTGTTCTGTGTCTGTAAAATTTCCATTGGAATTTGCTAGAGATTGCATTGGATCTGTAGATTGCTTTGGGTAGTATGGGCATTTTAACAATAATCTATGAGCATGGAGTGTCTTCATTTGTGTCATTTTCAGTTTCTTTTATCAGTATCTTACAGTTTCAGAGTACAGGCTTTTCACCACCTTGGTTGAATTTATTTCTAGGTTTTTGGGGTTTTTTGGATACAAGTGTAAATGGGATTGTTTTCTTAATTTCTCTTTCTGATAACGTTGGTTTGCAAACTCCTTGGGAGCCTTCCAGGTAGAATCTAAAACCAGCCCCCATACGCACAGGGCAAGGCCAGAGAGAGAACGAAGAAAGAGGCAGGCCGCTCCAGATTGACGTGGGGCGGGTTTAGTAATAAGGGAACTTCTATACAAGGCTTGGGCCAGGGCAGGGCGTGTGGTGCCCCCTTGGTGTCGCTCTTGGAGGGTTTCTCCTCTGTCCCTGTGTGGCGTGTATTGTGTGACAGTTACTCTTTGAGGGGGTGGCAGGCTCCCAGGTTCCCCAGATGGGGCGTTTGCCCTCAGCACTGGTTTGATTAGCCCTCAGGTGGAATTCACCCTTAAGAGTTTCACCTGGTAGGATACCGGACCCGGTGTGTTCCCTAGTCCTGGGGAGAGAGAGACCCCTTGTTCTCGGGCAGGGGGAGGTGCCTAGTTGGCAGCATCCAGAGACTTTCTTGATGGGCATCGTTGCTCAGGTTTTAAGGCTTTCCACAGGCTGACCGCTCTCTTCCGCTGGGGGCCCCCGCAGCAATGAGGTCAAGTCCATGTGCTTCCAGGTTCCATTCTCCAGACCCTTTCCGGTCCTTTGGGGGTGGCCTTTTGAGCTCCGTCTTGGTCCTGGGTCTCTCCCACAGCACCTGAATGTCTGTTGCACAAGTGGGCTCAGCGTGCCTCTGAGCAGCCCGTACCCTGTGCTGGGGGCCGACTGGAGCTCGCTTTCCTTCCTGCCATGACATGGCCCTATCAGGGCTTTCAGAGACCGGGGTGCAGGTGGCCTGTCTCGTTCCCAACTCCCTAAGAATTTGTTGGACTTCTCTGTAGATTCCTGGGGTCCCGCATGCCCAGGAAGGTCCCCCTCATTGGGCCAAGCCTCCCTGCAGGCTAGAACAATCCAGTATCTGAGGACATAACTACCTTGCACTTCCTGTAAGCGTGCCATGCAGCCCCCGCTGGAGGCCCCCTGCTGGAGGGCGGCAGGGTGCGTGCGGAGGTGGCTCCTTTCCTCCGGCCCCTGCACAGTTGGGGCAGCCATCGCTGTGCGGGATGCTCCCCCCGGCCTTCAGCTGGAACTCGGCAGCGTGTCCGCGAGCTCGGAGGGAGGAGACCCTCTTGTCAGGAGAGTTGCCCGAATCAGGGGGCTGCTCTTGCTTGCTCTTGTATTAGGGGTCTGCCGGTGCGGGGTGCTTCAGCCGTCCAAAGCCCTCCGCTTCCCCTCTCCTGGCCCCCCCCATTTGCTCTACCGCAGGGCCATCCGTGCAGTTTCTCCAGCGAGCGCGTTAAAGTGGCCTGCACTTTCGGGGTGTCCCTGTACTCACGCAGGGGTCCCCCAGCATCTGATGTAGGGGCTGCCCTGCGCCACACAGTGGTCACTGGCCAACTGGGGACTTCCCCCGCGGACCATGTGTTTGGTCTCCAGGCTGGCTCTCCCATGGTTGGGGTGCGATCTCGGGAGCTTCCTGGGTGCGATCTGAACTGGCCCCGCGATGCGGAGGGTAGGGAGCGACCAAGAAAGAGGCAGGCCGCTCTGGACAGGTAGGGGGCAGACTTCATAAGCAAGGGGACTTACTGGAAAGCTTGTCTGGGGCGGCAGCAAGCAAGACGTCTCCACGCCCACCTGCCAGAATCTTCGGAGTCTATACAGAGGTCTTCATGGGTTCGGCCTCCTGCCTTCCAGATGGTCTCTACACCCTATCGCTCTCTCAAGGCTGTGTCCTTGGGCAGCCTCGGGGAGTGGGGAAGGCAAGCAGGATGCACGTCCCAGGGACGGGGGTGAGGAGCCGGACTGTCCAGGTCCTGCCCCCGGCGGGTGGCCACATCACCTCTGTGACCTCCTCTAATAGTTTGTCATCTGTGTGTAAAAAACACAACAGATTTTCACATATGGATTTTGTATCCTGCTGCTTTACTGAATCTGCTTAAAAGTTCTAACAGTTTTTTGGTTGGAATTTTTAGGGTTTTCTGTATATGTCATCTGCAAATAGTTACAGTTTTTCCTTTCGAACTTGGATGCCTCTTACTTATCTTGCCTGATGTGCTGGCTAGGTTCTGTTGAGTAAAAGGGGCAGGAGGGGGCATCCTTGTCTTGTTCTGGATCCTAGAGGAAGGGCTTTCAGCTTTTCACCCCTGAGTATGTTAGCTGTGGGCTTTTCACATGTGGCCTGTATTATGTTGAGGTGTGTCCCCCGACACCCGCTCTGGTGAGCTTTTATCATGAATGGATGTTGAGTCTTGTTAGATGAGACGAGCAGGATCTCTGTCCTTCAGTTTGTGAATGTGGTGCCGGGTATGGTTGGCTTGCGGGTGTGGAAGCGTCCGGCGTCCCTGCACTTTGCGCCTCAGCGTTCCCTGTCGTCAGCGAACAGGTGGCGGCCAGGCTAGCAGCCGAGTCGTGTCTCCCGGTCACGCCCACCCTGCCCGCTGCACCTTTCTGTCCTCCCAGACCCTGCCTGTCATTTTCTGTCTTCATGGGCCGAAGAACCTCCTGGTCTCCCCACTTCCAGACTTCAGCTGTGGTTGGCTGCAGAAAGTTCTCCCAGCGGAAGACCCTTCGTGGGCTGGCCCCTGGGCTGTGCCCCCTGCTTCCCGGGCTGCGGTGCTCGCCTGCACCCCCGCACCTCCTCGGAGTTTGACAGCTCTGGGAAGTCGCCTCCACTCCCTCCCTTTCCCCTGCTGCCCATGGAGGCCAGGGTGGTGCAGGGGGGCCGGCCGCTTGGCCTGGGGCAGCCGCCTGCCCCGTGCTCCGTCCCCGAGCTCGGTGAGCGCGCCTTTTGCCCCCGCCCCTCACGCCAGCGCCCACCGGCCCCGCGTGTGTTTCCAAGCACTGACTGGCGTTTCGTGAGCGCCTCCCTTGTGCGGGCTGCTTTCCTAAGTGTCTCGGATGTCGTAACTCCGTCCTCAATGGCGACCGTGCCCCAGAAGCGCGAGGGGGTGAGACCCCCCCCCCCACCGCGCCCGCCCCCGGCAAACGGCGGCAGTGGGACCCCAGGGCTGGCCTGAGCGCCCACTCGTTCCCTCACCTGCCGCCTCTCCCTTTCTCCGTAGCAGCGCGAGAAACGTGGGGCCACAGGTAAGAGGCCCAGCCTGGCGCTCGGCCTGCGGCAGCTCCCAGCATGCTCGGTGCTTCTTGTTCCCTGGCAGCCTCGAGGACGCGCGGGCCCTCCGCGGCAGGTGCTTTCTTCTGGATCCCTTGTTGCCCGAGCTGCTGGTGTTTCCGGCCCAGACGGATCTGCACGACCACCCACTGTACCGGGCCGGTCACCTCATCCTACAGGACAAGGTGGGGCAGGCGGCCGGGGGGGCGGGGCGCGCACGCGTGGGCCGGCCGGGGGTCCCCGTGCCCCAGCGCTGCGCTCTGCCCGCCAGGCCAGCTGCCTCCCAGCCGCGCTGCTGGCCCCGCCCCCGGGCGCCCACGTCATCGACGCCTGTGCCGCCCCCGGCAACAAGACCAGTCACTTGGCCGCTCTCCTCCAGAACCAGGGGTGAGTGCCGCGGTCAGCCCGGGCCGGGGGACACGGTGCCAGTTCCGTCCTTGGAGGTCGGGCACTGTATTCCAGCCGGGCCCGGAGGCCCAGAGGAATTCCATCGGGACCTGTTGGTGCTGGAGCCCGACGCTCAGCTGCCCAGCGGGCGGCCGGTGGGAGATCTGAAGCCCCAGGGTCAGGTCCCTCCAACTGGACACTGTCCCTTCTTTCCTGTGCCCCGAATGGACGTGTTCCTGCCTGTCAGATCTGTGGGCCCTTAGGTGCCCGGTGATCCGCCCCAGCTCTCCCCTGTCCCCCAGGAAGATCTTTGCCTTTGACCTGGATGCCGGGCGCCTGGCGTCCATGGCTACCCTGCTGGCCCGGGCTGGGGTCTCGTGCTGCGAGCTGGCGGAGGAAGACTTCCTGGCGGTCTCACCCTCTGACCAGCGCTTCCGTCGGGTCCAGTACATCTTACTGGATCCTTCTTGTAGCGGCTCAGGTGAGATGGGGACAGAGTGTCTGAGGGACCTGCAGCTCCGGGGTCTGCGTTGGCCTCGTGAGAAGCAGAGCATCTCCGTTCGAAGTGAGGCCGTCTGCAGCTGACACGCTTTGTCCCTAGGAATGCCAGCCAGACAGCTGGAGGAGCCCGGGGCAGGCACCCCGAGCAAGGCACGGCTGCAGGCCCTGGCCGGGTTCCAGCAGCGAGCACTGCGCCACGCGCTCACCTTCCCCTCCCTGCAGCGCCTGGTCTACTCCACGTGCTCCCTCTGCCAGGAGGAGAATGAAGATGTGGTGCGCGACGCCCTGCAGCAGAACCCAGGGACCTTCAGGTAGCGGGGCGGGCGGGGGGAGGGGGTCCCGGGGAAGGGGGCTGCTCTCTTTTTACCCAGAACTCTGCCATTCTTCTCCACAGGCTAGCTCCCGTCCTACCCTCCTGGCCCCACCGAGGCCTCAGCACTTTCCCCGGGGCTGAACACTGCCTCCGGGCCTCCCCCGAGACCACGCTCACTGGTGGCTTCTTTGTTGCCGTTCTGGAAAGGGCAGAGGTGCCGAGGTGAGTGAGGGGCAGGCACGGGGGCTGCATGGAAGGCGCCGGAGGCCCGGGCTGCACCTAACTTAGGTACTTTCCTTCTAGCTCAGTCCCGCAGGCTGAAGCAGCGGCGCCCGAACCCACACCCAGCGCAGCCCCGCGGAGGAAGAGACGGCGCCAGGCCGTGGCTCCTGGCGCGCAGCCCCGCACACAGCAGGTCCGCAGGGCTTCTCCTTCTCGGGTGGGGAGGAAGAGCCCGCTCCTCCCCGCAGCTCAGCCAGCAGGTTTTTGAAAGGTTTTTTTTATTGCTTTAGAAAGGAAAGCGGTAACCCTGAATCTCCAGGGGGGGACAGAGTGGATTTCCTCGTCCTCTGGGTCCCTTCCCGGGGCCGTGTTCCTGCTGGTGAGAGAATTCTGCCCACAGAAATAAAAGGTGGGACACGGAATACGATAGATCACAGTTGTTTTTTATTCTTAATGACATAAGCAAGGAGAAAAATCTCACATTCATACTAAAAATTCCAACTAGACTCACAGGAATTAACTCTTTGTCATGGAAAGTCCCAGCCTCCCGTTCCTGTCCAGTGCACGTCCGTGTATACACACACACACACACACACACCCGTGTACACACCCCCCCCCCCCCCAAACACACACTCACTCGGGCTGCACCAGGACACCCTCTTCCGGGGGCTCCCGGACCAACCGTCCTGCCGGTGGAACCGAGGTAACTAGCTCAGAGTGCTGTGGCGAAGAGGGGCCTACCTTCCGTCAGCTGCCCGCGGAAGCTTGCTTTCTAGACCCGTGCGCCCCCCACCCCCCGCCCCCCGCCCCTAACAGGGATTTGGGACATGAGGTGCAGGCCTCTCCCTCAGCTCCACGCGCAGGGAAGTCAGGCCCGCGGGGCGACGGGGATGGCCATGACCGTCGCCTGCCATACACAGCACTCAACCTCGGTCACGGGTGAGGGGGGACTAGTTACATCTACGTCACATTATTTATAAAATAAGAGTTACATTTTATATCGTGTGTCCTGAAGGAGCTCCGGCCCCTCAGGAGAGCTGCCGAGGACAGCATCTGAGCCTCTCACGGGCATAACTTACCTATACAGCTAATTCCTAGTCAATAGCATTTATACTTAACCACCTCAGTGAACCAAGCTTGAAGGAATTTAAAAGGCAATTTAGCTTAAATACAAAAATAAATTTTTATTTTGTTAAAAAATGTTTAAATATTTTTTTCTTTTAATTTAGACACACGCATTCATACTTCTCCCAAAGAGGATGGGCATGGCAGCAAGGCTCTTGGGCCCGGGGTAGGTGATCTGGGAACAGAGGAGGGAGGGGGGGAGGGGGGAGGAACCTGAAGAATTCTGAAGTGTGGTTCACTACTTTTGGTTTTCTACCACATCCTGGGGCGGATCTAGCCCACGGCGGGGGTGGGAGGGAAACGGCGGAGGGAAGAGGTCTTTGCTTCCCCTCGGCCCCATCCTCTAGGGCTGCCAGCCCTTAAAGTCAAAACACCATTTGCAAATCCAGGAGTCAGCACGTGTAGCCATAAAGTGGTGCTACTTCCCACATTCAATTAGCGAGGCCCCAGAAACTTGGAACAGTTAAGTCCGGCACTACCAACATGCCGCCACTCATACGATTCAATTCTTCCTCCAAACTCGATTCAAAGAGCAATGGACATGAGCATCAGACGGTAACACAGGACAAGGCTTTGAACATACAACCCGGGGGGGGGGGGCGGCGCGAGGCGGGCGAGGAGGCAGCTGAACAGTGGGGGGACGTCCTGCCTGCTCCGGGCGCTTCCCCCCTGCAGCTGCCAGGCTAACAGTCTTGAGCCACCAAGCTTTTAGGGGCCAAACTGGCAGAGGGTGGGGGACGAAACATTGACTCGGACTTGGCAGGAGCAGCACCCACTGGGGTCTCCAAGGCAAAGCGAAATTCGGGGCCACTTAAAAAGGAGTGGATCCTGCAAGGAACCGGTGAGGAACAAAGCAGCAAGAGAGGGGGAAGCAGGGTCCCCTAACGGGCCCCGGGGAGAACCACTTCTTATAGGCAAGCCAAGCAAGGTAAAGCTGCGGGGCTGACCCAGCTCCCCGACTCCCGTCCCCAGCGGCGACAAGGGCGAGGGCTGTGCCTGCGACCCCCCCTCCCCCCGCCAAGCTGGCTCTTGCGGGGAGCGGCGGGAACACACCACACAGGAGTCAGGGAAGGAGGGGACCATATGTACAGATGTTCTTGCGCTCTCCAGCCTCACCGCGGAGCTGTTCAAGTACGGGGAGCGGGCTGCGGCCCCTGCCCCCTCGAGGAGCGGGACGGCCACCAGGGCTGCCGCTGCCTCCCCGCTGGCGGAAGCCAGAGATGGGGGCGGGGGGTGGTTGCTCTATGGAACTAGAAGGGTCAGAGGCTCTTCCTAGCAGGTGCTGAGGTCCACATTTGGGCAAGGAGTGGCGGGGACGGAAGGGGGCCAAAGGCTATTTCTTGCGGGCGTGCTGCCTGCGGGCCTGCAGTCGCTGCCGAGCCCCCGGGGTCTTGGATCCTGCACCAATGGAAAAGGAAGGGGCCGCCGAGCCTGGAAAGATGCAACAAGGTCTCATCAGGGCAGCTGCTGCCTGGGGCACTTCCGCGGGCACCCCAATCTTTGGAAGGTTAGGCTAGCAGAAGGCCGGGTACTAAACCGGGCCTCCCAAAACCATGTCAGTTGCTGGGGGTGCGGGGGGTGGAGAGGGACTAGTAAAAATGCAGAATCCCAGATCCTCTGCGAGTGAGAGGGAAGGCATTGTTACCTGGCTTTCCAGTGGTAGGGAACGTTCCCCCCAACTCCATGGGCTGGGCTGTGCTGGCCTTCCAGCCGGGCCACATCTTTCTCGGGCTTATGAGGCTGATCTTTCCCGGGGAGGGGGGCCCCAGAGCAAGAACCTGCCGAGACCCCCTCCCTCTCTGGAGAAATAGGACACGCTGGCACCGAGGGGACTTGCTGCTTACCGAAATGTCCGACTCCAACAAAGCCTTGGGTGGGTGTTGAGGATGCCCCAAAGGAGAGACCACTGCCTGACGCGCCCACCCCGGGGGCAGGGGTGTTCTGACCAAAGGTGGGTGTGGAGGTGCCTAGAACGAAGAGACCGCAGAAAACTAGCCACTAGGCCAGTGCCCAGAGGGCGTCCCGGGCCGGGTACTGAAGCTGGGGGGCGACCCCACAGGGCACCTCCGCCCTGGCCCCCCGTGCTGGCTCACCCCAGTGGTGGGGACTGCCGCTCTCCCCACTGGCTGCGGCCGAGCCAAAGCCCCGCAGCGCTGCCCTCTGGCCTAAAGAGCAGAGTCTGCATTTCCGTGGCCACCAAAGCACAGGAGAGGGGGACACTCAGTTTAACCAGGTTACTTCCCTCTGGGGGCTGAGTTCTCCCCCCTCTCCCCGTTTACCTGTCCCTCACTCCAGAAACCTGAGCCTTCCACCAAACACGCCCACCCCCCCATGGGTCCTCTCGCCTTCCCATGGCCACACCAGACCGCCTCTGCCCTCGCCACCAGAGGTCCACTGTCCATCCCACCACTGCCTCCCGACCGCCCGCAGGGAGGGCTGGCCTCCTCGCTCCCGCCCTGGGCCTGCCATCTTGCTGTCTGCCCCCACCCCTGCCCCCTACGGTTGCCCCTCACCGCCACCAGGGGCCATCCTAGCTCCCAGAGGACCCCCAGGTCCCTGCACCCCCCCCCCCACAGGAACCTGTTGGAGCTGCCACAGGCGGGGTCTCCCTGCCCCCCAGCATTCATGTGAATGTTGCTGCACCGTCTGGCCTCACCTCAAATTCATTACCCCAATTGTCCGGCGCTCAGAACTTCCTGACAATTCTACTAGGTTCTCATTACGTTCCTTTGCTCACCCTCCAAATGACCACTTCGAGAGGCCCTCGTCTGTACACACACCTCCCCAGTCCACTCTCACATTTAAGAACACAAATCATCAGGATCAGAACTCTGTGAGTCACCTGCCGTGGGGCAGCTAAGATCACTTCATTCTCCTGAAATTCTACAGGGATCTCCCTCTGTACTTAAAATCCAAATTTAACCCTTAAGCCCTGCATGACCTTCAAGGTGGCCTGCCTCTCCACAGCATTTTGGATCATTTCCATTTTTAGATCCTCAAGCCGCACCTTGCTTTTTGTCTGTTCCTGACCAGAGCGAGCTTGCTCCTGCCCCTGGGCCTTTGCACCAGCGCCCGTGTGCCCGAAAAGCGTGCTCTCACACACACACCTACCCACCACACTCCCAGTCCCTGTGCCCAACACAGAGAATCGGCTTCAATTTGCCCCGAGAGGCCCACCCTCCTCGACTACCCGAGGAGCTCCTCCACGGCCACTCGGGACGCACTGCCCCCTGCCCGGAGGCTTCCCGCTCCCTGAGCCCGTGTCTAACTACTGACCTTCAGCCCCGGCCCGGCCAGACCGTGGTGCGCTGTCGGCGAGGGGGCCGCGCTGGCACTTAGACCGGCGCCCGGTGCGGCGGACCGAGGCCATTCCCGAGCTTACCTCCAAACACAGGTTTGCTCTCGGGCGTGCCGGCCACATTGAAGGCAAAGGGTGTGCTCTGACTGGGCGCGCCCAGCGTGCTCTGACTCAAGCCTCCTCCGAAAGGGGTCGTGCCGCCGGCGCTCCCACTCTGTCCCGTGCCAAAGCTGAACGCTCCGGAGGTGCCGGGGGCGGCCACGTTGATCCCAAAGCTCCCGCCGCCGGCCGTGCCGGCGGATCCCCCAAACGTGAAGGGCGACAGCGTCGTGCCGCCGAACACCGAGCCGCTCGTCCCGCTGCTGGTGGTCTGGGTCGTAGCTCCGAAGCCCGCGGTGGTGGCCGCCCCGAAGGAGAACACGGGCGTGCCGCTGCCGAAGGCAGGCTGGGTGCTGGCGGCCGTGCCGAAGGCGGAGGCGGCGGGCTTCAGGCCGCCGAAAGCGGACTGCGCGGCGCTGCCGAAGGCGGGCTGGGCCGGGCCGGGCGCCGGGGTGGCGGCCGGGGCCGGGGCCGCGGAGTTCGCGAACGCGAAAGAGCTGCCGAAGCCGGGGGCCACGGCGGGCTTGGCGGGCCCCTGCTGCTGCCCGTTGGCGGCCCCGAACGCGGGCTGGGGGTTGGCGCCCGGGTACGACGGCGGCGCGGGCTTGGGGCTCGAGCCGAAGGGAATGTGGAAGGCCGGGGCGGCGGCGGCGGCGGCGGCGGCGGCCGTGGTGAAGGTCAGGGCCGGCGGGCTGCTGGTGGCGGGCGCGGGCGCGGTGAGGCCGCCGCCGAAGCCGCCGAAGCTGGAGGGGCCGCCGCTACCGGCAGCTGTCTGCGCGGCGCCGGGGACGGACTGGCCGAAGGTGGTGACGGCCGTCGACGCGGGCGCGGCAGGGGGCTTGCCGAACTGGAACACGGAGCCCACGGCCGGGCTAAAGCTGGCGCCGGAGGCCGGGGGCGCCCCGAAGAGGAAAGGCGCGGCAGCGGAGGTGGTGGTGCTGGTCACGCCGCTCACGCCAAAGCTGAACGTGGGCTTCGAAGCCGAGTCCGCCGACGTGCTGGCCGTGCTCGCGGGAGCCACGGGAGCCACGGCTGAGGCGGCAGTGGCCTGGCCGGCGAAGAGAGGGCCGCTCGTGGCAGTGGCTGGAGCAGCGGTCTGACCGAAGAAGGGAGCGGACAAGGGCGCAGAGGTAGGGGGCCCCATGCTGCTGAAGACGGGCTTGAAGGTGGGCTGAGGGCTGCTAGCAGGTGCAGGGAGGGCGGAGCTGGAAGGTGCCGTGGTGGGGACCTTGGAGGGGCTGGACGGCAAGGGGCTCTCGTTCTCGCTTTTTGGCGGGGCCGCAAAGATGGGCTTGAACATGGGGGATGCTGAAGACACAGCGGGGGCGGCAGACGCAGGGGGGTCAGCGGGTGGGGTGCTCAGCATTCCCAACAGAAGACTCTCCTTGGGGGTGGGGGACCGGGCAGCCGGGGCTGGGGATTTGGCAGATGTCTCAGCCTGAGGAGCCGGAGGTGACCTGGTGGTGTCAGTGGCTGGTGTCGGGGATGCAGCAGGGGTCAGCCCCAAGAAAGTGGCTGCATTTTTGGAGTCCGAGGAAGTGCCTGGAAGGGGCCCTGACTGTGAAGAGCCAAGAGGGGCCAGAAGGCTGGGTGTCTTCGGAGGCAAAGGGGCCACAGTGGTTGCCACTCCAGTGGATTCTGGGAAGAAGAGAGAACGTGAATTCTGAATACCTCCGACGTGATGGCATTCAATGCTTCTGTGCCCCCCTCGCCCTCCTGCTCGGCGCAGTGCTAGGGCTCCCAAGTTAAGTCAACAAATGTGACCCCATCTATACCACAAACCCTTCAGGTATCCACTCCGTAAAATCAACGCGGTGTTCACTATTTCCACCCTTCACAGACCATAAGATACAACAGAATACGATTTGGCCTAAGTGGGGGTTAACTGTGTGGAAACTAAGGAAAACCCAATCACCCAAACTCAAGTCCACTTAATTGCCTAGATGCACCTTACTCACCCCAGAAAGACTGACTGCATTTGCCTACCGTGTGCCGAGTGCGGAGCACAGAGCTGCACAGAAGGGTCCCTCCCCCAGGCCCTGGGAGAGGCCGATGCCTGACAGAGCCCCCCATGTGAGATGTGAGGAAGTGCAACGAGCGGACGTGGGCACATGCAGTGCCGTGACGGACCCCTGGAGACCTCAAGGGCAAAGGACGCCATCCTCTCGTGCCTGTGGTCTAAAGGCACGCGGCGGGACCTCCAACCATGTGCTCTCCCATTTCCATTTCAGAAAGCCTCACGCCTCACAAGCTAAGTGTTACTCGCATATTACTGAGGATGACGACAAGGCTCCCAACAGCTCAGGAAGGGAGTTTCAAGTCATGAACCACGGGACTCCTAAAGTGAGGCCGCCGACCCCAGCTTTAAGTATCGCCGCCCCCATCCCGAAAGCTTCCCGATTAGAGACTTCTGAAGCTCTTCAGCGCACACCAGCTCGGGTTTGGTGAGCCACAGCAGGCTCCAGCTCCCAGATTTCCGGGGACTGGCAGGCGAGCTGCTTTTACTTCAGGGGAAACCTAGGTCCTTCTGTGCTCCGGGGCCGGGGGCTCTCCCACTCACCCGGGGCAGACGATAGGCCGGCACAACTCTGCATCTTCTTCAAGCTCTCCAGCAGCGGGCTGCTGCACGGGGCTGGGAGGGTGGCTGGGGAGGCGGCGGTCCCAGCAGCGGGCAGGGTAAACGTCAGAGAAGGCTGAGTGGCAGGGGGCTTCTCGGCGACAGAGCTCGAGGCGGTATCTAAGCAAGGAAGAAAGATCGTGTTGGGTAATTCTCTCCGGGAGTACACCAGAGAACACAGGGCGCTCGGGATCCACTTATCTGGAAATGCCTCCCCAACGCCAGTGCCCACGGTTCCCGCTAACACCGAGGACCCAAATGGATTTCTCAGATGAGAAGGATCCAACTAAAACCCCAGGAAACGACTCCTTTCCAGAGCGTGGAGCTGGTCGGTCTTCCTTACCGGTCCCGTCTGCCAGGGCCTTGTTAAACCACTGCAGCGAAGCTCTCTTTTCCAGATCGAGGTCTTCGGCAGTGATGGAGTAGCCAAGCTGGGGAGGGGGTGGCTGCCAGGGAGGAAGACGAGAGGCCCGTCAGTCAGAGAAGCTGGAGGAGGCCTGTGTTCAGCTTCCCGAGAACTGGGGAGCGCTGTGCTGGGGCGGACGGGTGTGGCCGGACAGAGCCCTACCAGCGTCAGCCGGGCCCCTCGCCGCGACGGCAGCAACTGGACCCTCCGCCTGCGCCGCCCGGAGCTGCCAGGTGTGGGCGGGGAGCTGCACGAGGTCTGCGCCTTCCACGTGCTTGTATCTGCAGCTAAAGAAACAACACGGGCTTGTCTTCTTCCTCTTCCCTTCCAGAAACGGCTAGGTTTGTCTATCCACCCGGCTTCCCACCCTCTCTTCACTGGGTACCTCTGAAAGGTCGCATCTTCCGTGCTTGGGGCCCTGGGTAGTGTGTGCAAGATTATTTCTGACTGGAGGGCATAAAGAGGGATCTGCCCCAAACGCAGGCAGACGAGTGCGTACTACCGGCCCGCCCGCAGATTCCGGCACCTCGGCTGACCGCCAGCCCCAGTGACGCCGGGCCGCGACGTCGATCTGCCCGCGCCACAGACTACAAACCTCTGACTGGACAGGCCCCACACGCAGCGACGCTCGGCGCGTGTTCTCGGAGCCTCTAGAAACACGCCCACCACAAGTCACTCTCGTGCGCTTATCCACCTACCCTTTTCTCCCGGGGCCTCCTTGTCTGTTGCCAACGGGGTTGAAGAACTGGAGCGATGAGAAAGCTCGTCTTCTCTGCGGGTGGAAGAGGCACAGGTGTGCTTAGAAACACCTCCTGACTCGGGCTCCGGTGCCGGTGAAGCGTCTGCCTTCGGCTCGGGTCACGATCCCGGGGTCCTGGGATCGAGCCCCGCATCGGGCTCCCTGCTCCGCGGGGAGCCTGCTTCTCCCTCTGCCCCCCAACCCCGGCTTGTGCTCTCTCACTGCTTCTAATAAATCTTTAAAAAGAAAAAAAAAGAAAGAAAGAAAAGAAAAAGAAAAAGAAAGTCCTCCCGACAGAGTACTGGGTAACTTCTTACACCCTCCTAACTACCAACTGGCCAAAGTCCAGACCATCATGATTTAAGATCAAAGTATGCCAAGACAAAAAATTTAAGAAATCAAAAGAAAATTCCTACAAAACGAAGGGAGGCAGTTCACGGACGCCATGGAGAAACCTTTGTCTTACAGCAAGCACAACACAATAACCTTCAAAACCTTACTTTCAACCTGCCAATCCCTGCGAGCTGTCACACATCTGACCCCAAGAGCAGCGTTCTAGTCGACTTTCGGTGCCTAGAGGGTCAGCCGGAGTCTAGAACGTGAGCTCTCCTGCCCCTGACGTAACTCACTCTGCTCCCTGCACACCCCGGCTGCTCCAGCTGCAGAATGAGGAAGAGAGCCAGAGACTCTAGGGTCAGCATGAAGACTGTAAGAGAGGAGAGTAGTTCAGGCAGGTATTTTCCCTGTCCTTCTAGATGGCGATTTCTTTGACTCTCCAAATCACAGCTGCAGGAAGCCTAAGAGCCAAGCACGTGTCCTTCCTTTCCTGCCCTTTTGTGAATCTGCAGGCAAGTCAGGACTCATTACCTTATTTTCTTTGCTGGCCTCTCGGGGGTCTGGGAGCGGGACGAGGCGGGGCTGGAGAACGGCGACGAGCTGGGGCCACTCCTCTTCCAAAGCTGAAAGGCAGAAAGCAGAGACACAACTGAGTCTACAGGACAATATAACTCTCTGTTCTGTTCATCACTGCTATCAAGTCTCCTTTTCAGTAACTTTAACATTTCTTTATGGGGTGACTGGCTGCCTCAGGCAGTAGAGCGTGTGACTCTTAATCTTGGGGTTGTGGGTTTAAGCCCCATGTTGGGTGTAGAGATTACTTAAAACAAAATCTTAAAAAAAACACAGGCGCCTGGGTGGCTCAGTCGTTAAGCCTCTGCCTTCAGCTCAGGTCACGATCTCAGGGTCCTGGGATCGAGCCCCGCATCGGGCCCCCTGCTCTGTGGGGAGCCTGCTTCTCCCTCTCTCTCTGCTGCTCCGCCTGCTCGTGCTCCCTGTCAACTAAATAAATAAAAATTCTTAAAAAAACAAAACAAAACGATTTCTTTGTGAAGGAAGGCCCCTGAAGGAAAGTCAATTGCCAGTATTAACTATGGGGGTGGGGGGGGCAATAATCTGAACAAGTAAGGGAAAGTGAAATAATAAATGTACAAGGAGCAAATGTATACATTGCATACATTAAAAAGTGGAATGTCACACTCAGTCATGGTTTAGAGCCATGATGCTTACAAGTTTACACTGCCTTACAGAAATGATAAAATTAAGAAACTTTTCCAACCCTTCCCCCCAAAAACCCTATCACAGCAAAGATAAGCCAGTAAACTGATTTAGTCCTTTCATTAAATTTTCAGTTTTACTTCAACTTTTTTTAAAATGTGCTACCATGATTCATGACTTTTGCAGCATCTCTGGTATTTACTGTTAAATAATAATTACCCAGACACCTGTCTTTTCCACCAGGCAGTCCCGATGACAAAGACGGTCTATTCTCCCCTCGCCTCCTGCGAAGCAGGCTTGCAGCAAAGTGACCGACGAGAGCCGGCACTCTGCACACAGCTGCATTCAGTCTTCAGCCGAATTACAACAATCCTAGCACTGCAGACCTTTTTCTCACTGAGAAGCTTCTAGTGATTTCTTAACTCCGTAACAGTTATGTAAAGGGCAGCTGGGTGGCTCAGTCTGCTGAGTGTCCAACTCTCGGTTTTGGCTCAGGTCATGACTCCAGGGTTGTGAGATGGAGACCTGTGCTCTGTGGGAAGTCTGCCTGAGAGTCTCGCCTTCTCTGCCCCCCCCCCCCCCCCACTGGCACGTGTGCTCTACAATAAATAAATCTTAAAAAAAAGAGAGAAAAGCTCTCTGTATAAAAGCACTGCCCTGTAGCAAGAGACCCCACTGTACACCACTGGAATTTCCAACCGTACCAACAGTTCCACAAAACAGACATAAAACCTATGTGGGCAGGAAATAAAAACATCCCCAAGCAAAACAAAAACCAGAAAATTAAAAGGCAAACAATTTCAATAAGAGTTAATATCTGTTACATGTAAACATGGGAGTCCTGCAACTCCACTTAAATATAATGAACATATCTAATGAAAAGTAAGATAAAGATATAAATCATAAAAAGAAATAGTCAATCCGTGTATCTAGCAATCAGTTTAGTTCTGCATTGTAATTCAATTTTTAATTAGCTGACTTCTCACTTCAGAGAGGCACTAGACCTTCACACTTGACAAAGAATGCAAAGATGAGCTAAGCGCTCCATCACCAAGGGACTGACAATGTGGAAAGGAGATGGGCGAGTACACAAACTGACCGTGAACAACCGAAAGGTAGCAGAGGTCTCTACACAGGAGCCTCAGGAGAGAGATGACACAGCGCTGGTTAGAAGAATCGGTAAAGGAGGGAGGTGACATCTAAGAGCCTTTCACGACGTCACAAAAAGCACCTGCAGAGACAAGCCGCACAGGCTTGCAATGGGACGGACACGTCATCCCACAGCGGGAACAGAACAAGGAAGGGAAGGCACCAGGAGGTATTAGGTGCTCCAAGAAGGTGGTAAATGTCCTAGTCTGGCTGACAGATCATACAAAGGACTAACTGGGCACGAGGTCAGAGAGGAAAGCTGGGGTTTGAAGCACTGAAGGCAAGGGTAAATATTCCTACTTTGGAAAATGACAAGTCTCCTAAGACATGGATATATCAAGGCCATGCACAAAGAGGTCAGAGGACACTTTACTTCTTCTAGAATTGGTCCCCGTCTAACATGTGTAATGATTTTATAATTTCAAAGCTAGAGTTTCTAGTTCGGGCAGCTGTAGATTTGGCTACTTCCTAGCGTTCCCTTGGAAAAATACAGTTAGTCAAAGATCTCGACTGCCACCTGCACCAAATTTAAGGGCTGTCACCGATACTGACTAAATCCCTACCTCAGGACGTTTGTTTTGTCTTTTTTTCTCCAAGAGAAGCTTCAACATAAAGAACTTTCACATTACTTTAATCTCCTCTTCCTAATACCGACTTCTGAGAATTTAGCGTATGTGCAAATACCGCACGGGAGCAGGGGGCCGGTAGCTACTGGGACCACCAGACGGCGCTTACTGTTCGCGGCTGCACTTCCGGCAGGAGGTCACAGGCTCCACCCTGGAGTGAGGGCGCTGATCACAAACTCGGACTCTCTTGCAGGCAACGGCTATGTTGTTCTAGAGCAACACTCCCACCAGGGACAAGCAGCAAATGCTGGAGAAGATGCGGCCCCCATGTGTGAAGGTACGGCGGTGCTGGGGAAGAGCTACCAGGCCGGTGAGACTTCGTGGAGACAAGAGGAGGAGCCAAGGGGTGAGCCCCCCCCCCCCATTTAGGGCTCCTTTTTCTCTCGGTGACTGCAAATTCCCAAAGGAAAAGCTGCAGTTGGGAGACTGAGAAAAGCTTTTATCAGTCTCACGGGGTTGGAAAGACAAAAATGAATTCAGGGCTTTCCGAAGTACAGGGTCCCTAATATGACCTAAAGCTTTTGGTTGAGATCCTCAAGGCTCCGTACGGGAAGAGAGGGGAAATCAGAAATAAACCAGCCCTCACAAGACCTGACAACTCAGAATCATGTCAAGTCTGCCCAGACGGAAGTCATCTGTCCCTATCCTAGCTACTGCCAGAGGTAAAATAAAAAAGTAAAACCTCTCTGGAGGAAGATACCATCATTCAGAGATTCAAGTTATTGTTACTTTTTTTTTCAATGTCTGACAGAGAAATACAGCAACAAAAATCAAGTATATAAGAAAGTAATATTTAACCAATACCCCAGAGGAAAAAAGCAGACATCAGAAACAGACCACAGAAGATTCAAATATTGGAGTTATTGAACAAGACTTCAGAAGAACTATTATAAAAATTTAAGTGACAATATGGAGAATCCTGGCAGACAAATGGTAACTATAAGAAAGAGAACAACAGTGATTTAAGAATGCACTGTATGGGCTAAAATAGCACATAACTAAAGAAAATCAGTAGACTAGACAACGGAAGAACTGGGGGAGGGGGGAGACAAATGTTGGGAAACACAGACAGACAGACAAGACAGACATGGGACAAAAGGAAAAGGTCTAACATGTGTCTTCAAACACCGAGACAGGGGAGAAAACAGGGCAGAACAACATCTGAAGAGAAAATGGTTGAGGTGTTTCAAAACCGTCAAAAGACCTCAAGCCACGTGACAAACTCCAAGGAACATAAACCATAAGTGAGCACTTCATGAAATTTCTTCTCAAGTGAAGTTGAAACATTTACCAAAACTGAACATGTGCTGGGCCACAGAGCAAATCTACTTCAAGGATTGATAGGAGCACATCCTGTGAGCTAGTGGAATTTAGTTAAAAACCAGTAACAGAAAGATAACTAGACAACTGTTTTGAAATTAAGCAATGTATTTCTAAGCACAGAAATCAAAGAACTCAAAACGGAAATCAGAAAGTATCTGAACTGAATGAAAATGAAAAATACTTCTACTTCAAGACTGTGGTAAGCACCTAAGGTTTACAGGAAATGTACAACCTTTGATATATATATATATATTAGAAAAGGGAAAAGGCTGAAAAAAACCCAGTGACCTAAGAATCTGGATTAAAGAATTACAGGGACACCTAGGTGACTCAGTTGGTGAACTGTCTGCTTTCACCTCAAGTCATGGTCCCAGGGTCCTGGCATCAAGCCCCGCCTCAGGCTCCATGCTCAGCGGGGAGCCTGCTTCTCCTTCTGCCTGCTCACTGCTCCCCCTGCTTGTGCTCTCTTTCTCTTTCTGACAAATAAATAAAATCTTAAAAAAAAGAAAGAAAGAAAGAAAGAAATCCCAGCAAGTGGAACATGAAAAAAAAGAAAGGGCGCCTGAGGGGCTCAGTTGGTTAAGCATCCAACTCTTGCTCTCAGCTCAGGTCTCGAGTTCAAGCCCCACGGCTCCAAGCTGGGCATGGAGCCTACTTAAAAAAAAGAAAAAAAAGGTCTCTTGCTGCAGCAACGCGAGTGGGAGCACCAGGCGCCGGGCTCAGAGTGGAACTCCACGGATCGCTTTAAGAAAATGGCAGACAAGCCGGACATGGGGGAAATTGCCGGCTTCGATAAGGCCAAGCTGAAGAAAACAGAGACGCAGAAGAACACCCTGCTGACCAAAGAGACCACTGAGCAGAAGCGGAGTGAAATTTCCTAAGATCCTAGAGGATTCCCCACCCCCGTCATCTTTGAGACACCCCAGTCGTGATGTGGAGGAAGAAGAGCCACCTGCAAGATGGACATGAGTGACAGGCTGCACTGTGAACCCGGGCACTCTGTGCCGACACCACCGGCCTGCGTGTCTCTGAGGGGACCCCCCCCCCAATCAGACTGCCAAATTCTCCGGTTTGCCCTGGGATATTATAGCAAATTATTTGTACGTTTAATGAAAATAAAACACACCTCATGCCATGGCAAAAAAAAAAAAAAGGAAATCGTATCTAGAAGGGCAGAAATTAAATAGAACAACACGTAATAGAGTGACTCCTAAAATTGGTTATTTGAGGATACAACCCTGAAAAAGGAACTTCCTTAATCCAATAGAGTATTTACCAAAAAAACTGTATCAGGGTGCCTGAGTGGTACAGTCAGTTAAGTGGCTGACTCCTGGTTTTGTGATCTCAGGGTCGTGGGATCGAGCCCTATGTTGAGCTCCACGCTCAGCTTGGAGTCTGCTTGAGACTCTCTCCCCCACCCATGCATTCTCTCCAAATTAAATAAATAAATCTTTAAAAAAACCAAAAAAACCCTCACAACAACCCTATATCAAACAGCATATATAACAGGAAATGTGGAGAGCACTCCCTTTGAGATCAAGAAAATAAGGATGTTTGCTGTCACTTCTATTCAACATTGTACTTCAGGTCTTAACCAAATACAGTAAGGCATAAAAACTATAAAGGAAAGAGGGAAAAAAGCTGTCATTGTAGACAACATGATGTACACACAAAAATCCTAAAGAATATACAGATGATTACGGAATTTAGCAAATTTTCTAAATATGATAATCAGTTGTATTTGTATATATCAGCAACAGATTATACACCATTTACAACAGCATCAAAAAATATACCTAGGAATAAGTTTAATATGTAAAACCACTACACAGGGCAGTTAGAAATGATGTAAATAAGTGAAAGATATACCATGTTCATGGATTGGAAGATTCAACACTGTAAAAATGTAATCTCTCTCCAAAATAACTGGTAGATTAAAGGCAGTCTTAATATCTCACAAGTGTCCATTCTTTCTTTTAGTGGAAATTGACGAGCTGATTCTAAACTTACAGAGAAATGCAAAGGGTCAAGATCCAAGACAATTCTGAAGAGGAATAAGAGAAATAAGAAGTTGGATGACTTATTCTACTACATATCAAAACTAAAAGACTGTGTGGCACAGTGTAGGGAAAAAAGACAGGTACAGGGCAAAAAAACAGACAATGGAACAGAACAGAATCTAGAAATGGAGCCACATATATACACTTAAATTATAACTAAGGCAGTGCCACAGAACAAAGGAAAGGGATGGTCCAACCTTTCAATTAATGTTGCTTACTAAGTCAAGTGGTATTTTGATTGCTACTTCACACCGTATACAAAAATCAACTTCAGGTGGATTATAGATCCAAATGTGAAAAGAAAAAGAATAAAGCTTCTAGAAGATAGCATATCATCATCATGACTTTAGGTAGACAAAGAGTTCCTAAACAGCACACACAATACACTAACCGTAAGTGTAAAGTGAAGAAAATGAAGTGGTGAGACACAGAGTAGGATAGTGATTTGTTGCAACACGTACAATTTAGAGAAAGCTTGTATCTAGAATATATAAAGAATTTCTATAAATCAGTAACAAAAAGACAAACAACTTAATAGAAAAGGGCCAAGAAACTTGAATAGGCACTTCATAAAAAAGGAAGTACAAACGGCTAATGAACAGTTCATACCTCTATTTCATTAGCAATCAGCAATTACAATACAACCACAAATTACAACCACAATGGAATTTGGTTACCACAACGGGTAATTAAAGAGACTGGCAACATCAAGTGTTAGGATGTATAACCACAGGAACAAAATCTCACTGCAGTGGTCAAGAGTATTAACTGAAATGTAACTTTAAAAAATGGTCCAGGGGCACCTGGGTGGCTCAGTCGTTAAGCGTCTGCCTTCAGCTCAGGTCATGATCCCAGGGTCCTGGGATCGAGCCCCACATCAGGCTCCCTACTCTGCAGGAAGCCTACTTCTCACTCTCCCACTCCCCCTGCTTGTGTTCTCTCTCTCTGTGTCAAATAAAATCTTTAAAAAAAAAAAAAAAAAAAAAGGTCCAACAACATCTACTACAACTGAGCACTTCACATACTTTATATATGTGCACCAAAAGACTTAATACCAACATTACGCATAATAGCTCTAAACTGGAAACCCAATGTCCAACAGCAGGAGAAAAAACGTAATTATGGTATATTCGTGTAAAGAAAATGAATTTCATGAAAGACTTGCTGCTACATGTAACAACCTGGATGCATCTCACAAGGAAAATAGTGAAAGAAGCCAAACACAAAAGAAAGCATATCCTGGTCTTCATTTATATAAAGTTTAAAAATAGGGAAAACTATAAGGTGCTAATACTCAAGAAGGAAGGAGGAGGTATGAGAGGGGCTTCTGGGTGTTGAAAATGATTTATTACTTGACTGGTTACATGAAGCTGTACACTTAAGGTACTTTTCTACATTATTAAAAAAATTAAATATAGATTTGACACAGAATACTATGCAATATATGATTTAAAAAGAGACAAAAAAGCACATACGTGATGATCTCATTTGTGTAACACAGACCAAAAATTCTCTGCATTATCTGTGTTCACACACCTAGTACGAATGTTAACAACAGGTACCTAATGGGACGGAGACTGGGACAGCCAGGACAGGGGAATCTTATTTTACTTAACAGTTACCTATACTTAAAAACTTTTTGAAACCAGGAAAGTTACTACATGCAGCATGTCATACATTCCAACAAGCAGAGTACACAGTAGAAAGTTTTCCTTCTACCTCAACAGTTATTCCTGGTTTCTAATAAAATCTATCAAAAGTATTCTATGCACAAATAACAAAGAACACTATACACACAATTCTGCACCTTGCTTTTGTTCTGTATTTTTGAATTCCCATCAGTGCCTCTTAAGCTACCTTATTCTTTTTGATAGCTACATAGTATTGCAACTTATGGAAATATTGTTACTTAACCAGCCCCCCCCCCCCAGAAGGTACCTTTACATTGTTTCCAAGCTTCTGCTATTAAAATGCTACAATCAACATCCTTCTATATGCTTCTGAGTATATGTATAGAATTAATTCCTAAAAACAAACCTGCTGGATCAAAGGGTACATGCATCTCTAATACTGATAATTACTGCCACACTGCTCTCCAGAGAACTGTATGAATGGACACTCCCATCAGCAATGCATGAGAAGCCTGTTCTTACAAATACTTTTATGGTTTTTATTTTACATTTGTATCTTTAATTCATTTGGAATATATTTCTCTAATATATGAAAATCGGCCCAAACTCACTCTTAAGAGACACAAATATGGGGTGCCTGGGTGGCTCAGTGGCTTAAGCATCCGACTCTTTTTATTTCAGCTCTGGTCGTGGGATCCAGCCCTGCGTCATGCTCTGTGCTTCGCGTGGATTCTCTCCCTCCCTCTGCTTCCCCACCCCCCGACATGCACATGCTCTCCAAATAAAATCTTAAAAAAGCGACACACACATACACACACACTGTTCCTCACCTAACTGGTAAAAACCCAAAGCTATGACAACCTAATCTATTGGCGTGACTATGGAGAAGTCGTCACTCATATAATGCTAATGGGAATGCTAATGGTACATCCTCTAAGGAGGGAAATTTAAAAATATCTAGTGAAACTACATGCATCTAACTGTTGGCCTGGGAAATCAGTATTCCAGGCCATCTATCCGAGAAGTGTAATGGCCAGAGAGTGAAATGACATTGTGAGTTAAAGCGTTACCTGCAGTACCACCTGTCACAGCAGAAAACTGAGCTCAATGTTCATCAACAGAGCACAAGAGTAACTGCACTTACTGTAGGAGGAAAGATGAAGCAAGGCTCAAACTTGTACATATTACTGCCTCACGTGTTAGAAGGTGGGGTTTACAGATAGACATGGATTTGCATATAGTTTTAAGAAAAAAAAAGACAGTGGAAGAATAGCCAAAAAGTAATAAAAATAGGAAGGGAACAATGTGGAGCAGAAAGAGGTTGAAATTGTGAACTTCTCTGAGTGTATTTTGTTTTCTCATATGTTCTCTGGAACAATTTTTATTTTATTTATATTTATTTACATTTATGTTTACTTACATTATTTATTTTTATTTTTAATTTTTTAAAAGTAGGCTCCATGCCCAGCGTGGAGCCCAAAGCGGGGCTTGAACTCACAACCCTCAGATCAAGATCCGAGCTGAGATAGAGAGTCAACTGAGCCACCCAGGCACGCCAGAACAATTTTTTTTTTTTTTAATTTTACTTTTAAGTAATCTTTACACCCATGGTGGGGCTGGAACTCACGACCCTGAGATCAAGAGTCACATAATCCACTGACCGAGTGGGACGCCTGGGTGGCTCAGTCGGTTAAGCGGCTGCCTTCGGCCCAGGTCATAATCCCAGGGTCCTGGGATCGAGTCCCACATCAGGCTCCTCAGGGAGCCTGCTTCTCCCTCTCTCTCCTTCTGCTTGTGCTGTCAAATAAATAAAATCTTTAAAAAAAAAAAAATCCACCGACTGAAGCAGCCAGGCGCCCCTGTTCTTTGGGACAATTTAAGTATTTTATTTTACATAAATAAAAACAAACTGTATTAAAAAAAAAAAACATTAAAATATACTGAACAAACCTTACTGTATATCAAGTTGGTGGTGTACCCAACTGAGAACACTGAATTCAGTGGTTCAGCTGGTTAAGTGTCTGACTCTTGATTTCAGCACAGGTCATGATTTTGGGGTGGTGAGATCGAGCTCCATGTCAGGCTCTGTGCACTCAGTGCAGAGTCTACTCTAGATTCTCTCTCTCCCTTTGCCCCTTCCCCTGTTTGTGCTTTCTCTAAAAGAAATAAAATCTTCAAACATAAAAACGTAAAATCAAAGAAATTATGTAAAAAGTTCTGTGATCCTAAATCTGAACTTGAAATATCAATATGAACTAATGACTGAGAGTTCTCTTTCTAAAGGATATGTGTAATTTTAACTCTCCTAGAATCCAGACTGTAGTCTATAAAAATCATTTCCAACTGAAAAAAAGGAAGGCTACTTGGACATATAGCCAACTTCAGTTGGAGTTGGAAATGTACAAGATGGATTTTTTTTCAAAGCTAAAAAGCAACAAAGTTATTTATCAAAAACTACTGGGATCAAAACAAAAGGATATAGGAGCCAATTTGAAAGGGCTCCCACTGGCCAAAAGTGGAAAACTTTGTGCCTCAAAAAAAGTGAAATGTCTATACAAACTCAGAAGTTCATAAAGATAATCACAACACCCAAAAACTCATAGGTCACTTCTGGAGTTGGCTCTGGCATCAGCGCCTTCTTATTACCTAGATACTCCCACAGGTAGGATATGTTCTCCTGTACAGAATTTCAGTTAATAAATGCAGAGGAAATGACAGAATTAGATTACTACCATTTTGCAATCTAATAAAACCGTGGACCTAGGCAAAGATGATAAATGGATGCTAAAATCGTCAGATGAAAAACTCATAGAAAAATGAAAATGGAAGAATCTGACTGAAACAGCTGAGCCCAGGGATCATTACCAACCTCACAAAAGGGAGGCAGCCAGTCCTCACGTGATCCTGGTGTGATGCAATCACAGGGATGTGATGTTCTGCTAAAATAACTGAACCTGAATCTAATCAAGTCTCAGGACTCAAATTCCCATTTACAGGCAACATAGGGGATCGTGTATATGTTAAAAAGATACCATGACGATGGAAACTTAATCTAGAATGTGGGAAATTCCACAGAACAAAATGATCCAGTTTTTTCAAAGGCATGAAAAAAATAGTAGTATTATAGATTTAAAGAGTCTAAGAGACCTAGGAACCAAATGTAAAGAACTGATGTTTAGTCCCTCAAACAAAGGAACTGTAGTAAGACAGTTTGGGATAACACAGGCAATCTGAACATGGAGCAGTATTAACAAATATTAAGGAATAATTATTGCTTAAGAGGAATAATGCCAATGTGGTTATCAATGTTTATAAAAAGTTTTAAATACACTGAAGTCCCTATACGTGAAATGACAGGTTTGTAAATTTACTGTAAAACACAAGGGCAAAAACAGGGTGGGGTGGACTGATGGAACAAGACAGACAAAACGCTGGTAACTAACAAGTGAAGCTATAGGGAGGGAGGTCCATTAGATTCCCTTTCCTTTTGCGTACATTTTAAATTTGACATAATAGAAAGATTTTAAAGAACAGGTAAGTACAGGCATACTTCGTTTTACTGCACTTTGCAAATGCTGTTGTTTTTTTTTTTTAAGATTTTATTTATTTGACAGAGAGAGACACAGCGAGAGAGGGAACACAAGCAGGGGGAGTGGGAGAGGGAGAAGCAGGCTTCCCGCTGAGCAGGGGGCCCGATGTGGGGCTCGATCCGGGGATGATGACCTGAGCCGAAGGCAGACACTTAACGACTGAGCCACCCAGGCGCCCCTGCAAATGCTGTTTTTAACAAATTGAAGGTTTGTGGCAAATCTACTTCAAGCAAGTCTATCAGTGCCATTTTCCTAACAGCATTTGCTCACTTCATGTCTCTGTCTCACATTTTGGTTAAGTATTGCAGTATTTCCAACTTTTTATTATTATTCTCTTTGTTACAATGATCTGTGATGAGGGATCTTTGATGCTACTATTGTAATTGTTTTGAGGAGCCACAAACCACGCCCTTATAAGGCGGCTGACTTAAATAAGTGTGCTCTGATTGTGCCATTAACTGGCAGTTCTCCCATCTCTCTCCCTCTTCGCCGAGATAGTACAATATTGCAATTATACCAGGTAACGACCCTACAGCGGCCTCTTAAGTGTTCAAGTGAAAGGAGGAGTCGCACGACTCACACTTTAAATCAAAAGTTACAAATGATCAAGCTTAGTAAGGAAGGCAGGTCAAAAGCCGAGACATGCTGAAAGGTAGGCTTCTTGCACTCAACAGCCAAGTTGTGAATGCAAAGGAAAAGTTCTTGAAGGAAATGAAAAGTACTACCCTAATGAACACATGAATGATAAGAAAGTGAAAAGGCCTTATTGTTGACATGAAGAAAGTCTGAATGGTCTGGGTGGAAGATCAAACCAGCCATACCATTGCCTTAAGCCAAAGCCTAAACCAGGGCAAGGCCTAACTTCAATTCCAGGAAGGCTGAGAGGTGAGGAAGCTGCTGGAGACAAGTCTGGAGCTAGCAGAAGCTGACTCAGTGAGGTTTCAGGGAAGAAGTCATCTCCGTAACAAGGGGAAGCAGCAGGCGCTGATGTAGAAGCCGCAGGAGGTCATCCAGAAGATCTAGCTAAAATCATTCATGAAGGGGTCTATACCAAACAATGGAATTGCAACAGAGCCTATACTGGAAGAAGATGCCATCTAGGACCTTCATAACTACAGAGAAGTCAGTGCCTGGCTTGAAAGCTTCAAAGGACAGGCTGACGCTCTTATTAGGGGCCAATGCGACCGGTGACTTTAAATTGAAGCCAGTACTCACCATTCTGAAAATCCTAGGGCTCTTGAGAATTATTCTCAATCTGCCTGTTGTGGTGATTATTCCTACAACTACTCAAGCTTAGGCCTTCATTTTTCATTTATGTTATTGTAAAAGCCTTCTGGATTACCTCATCTCAAAAGTTTTCTCCCCTCAAAACTCTTCCTCCTTGAACGCTTTATTTTTTTCTCACTACCATATATAGGGTACCCACTTACTGACATGCATTGTAATGGATATTTTTCAAGCACTGTCTTCAATCTTTATAATAATCCTTGGGAGATGAGAAATAGAAAGTTGAAGTGATTTACCTCCCGAGGCCCTATAGCTACTAAGTGTCAGAGGCAAAATCTGAATCCAAGTCTGTCTGGTAGCAAAGCTTGTTCTGTCCCCTAGGCCATACTGCATCCTCTTTCTAAGAAAGAACTGCAATTTTTTCTAAAAAATAATTTTAAAATATTACAATATTTTGAAAACTTTTCACTCAATTCTCAATGACGATAGGATGAATTTTATGATCCAGTGCAATCTGGACTGAATCTACCTTTTCAATCAAATTAATATCATTTATTGAATTATTCATTCTTTGTCCATTTATCTACAATACTGGCTGTTTTGTATCAGCTGTCCCCATATGTACTGGTTTACTTTCTGGGCTTTCTATTGTTCCCCGGGTCTAAGTTACCATTCAAGGGTTTGTATCTTCTGTTAGCTCAGAGGCAATCCCAGTATCTGACGGGTGGAAGGTGGTTAGTAAACACTGGCTCATCAATTAACGCTCGGAGCACCTTTCCCCCATGCCACAAGAAGAACGTACCTGAGAGAAACCTCGAGTTGAACTGTAAGAACTGGTAATGGCATTGCGGCTGGAGCTAGGGATGCCACCTGTGTACGTGCTCGTCAGGGAGCTCACAGAAGAGGTGCGAGATCTCTTATTCGAGGGGTCGTCGGAGCTTTGGGAATTGAGACCTCTCTTCAGAGAGCCAGGCCTAACAAAAAAGAAAAAGGCAGTGAGTGTGCTATTTAAGGCAACATTCTTTTAAGGCTTCATCCATGGTCACAAAATATTTCTTAAATAAACTTAATAAAAAAGGATAAAGCTCTTAATGCTATTGTTACCACTTCAGCTAAATACCTTGGGCAAGTCAGGAAGGGAAAGCCAAATATTTAAAAAATTAAACGTATGACTCCATTTGTATAATATTCTAGAAAAAACTGCACGCTAATCTACAGTGACAAAAAGCACATCAGTGGATGCCTGGGGCTGGGGGCAGGACTGGAGGGAGGCGTTACTAAGGAGCAAGGGGTAACTTTTGAAGGTGATAGTTATGTTTATTACCTTGGCTATGGCAATGGTTTAACAGGTGTATACAGGTCAGAACTTATCAGACTGTACACTTTAAAAAGGCACAGTTTATTATAATGTTAGTTACATGTCAATAAACCTACTAAAAAAACCAGAGTTAAGAGGAACCAACCAATTTTTTTAAGCTTCCAACAGAACATCTTTCCTGTAGAATAGTCACCCAACCTTTGTTACAATGTAGACAACTCACTTTCTCCCACAGTGATGAATGTCAACCATGGACTAGTTTATTCTTACACTGGATGAAAATATATTTCCTCTTTCACCTATTTCACCTATGGATCTATTTGGAGTCAAACCGAACAAATGTTAGCCTTTTCTTCATGTGACTTCCCTCTCATTTCCTTATTCCCCTTGAGATTTTTCTCCCTTGGGCTAATACTTTAAACTTTCAAAACCCACTCATGTACGGCCACCACTCTGTAACATATTACAATTGCTTCATTCGGAATGACTGTTAGGTTGTGTTTATGGTCTCTTACAGTGCAGGCCACGGAACCAAGCACAACACTACACGGACAATGTGAGCAGAACTCAGGACAGCAGGAACCTCCGCCCCCCTCCCCACGTGCTCCATTCTGGTCTTTGTTCTGCTATCAGCATAGACTGGGAGCACATTAGCTCTTTTGGCAGCCTTGTCACTCTCTTGACTCAATAAGCATGTAAGTTACCTCACGTCTTTTCACACAGATTTCCAAGACACTTTCCCTCTCATCCAACCCCTAAATGTATTTAAACTCAATTGTACAAACTTAACATTTATCTTAAATTTCATACTGTTGCACTTTAACCGTCGCACAAACCTGTTTATATACGTAGTTATTAAATATATTTACAATCTCTCTTAGCCTTACCATATTTTTATCCATATTAAGGAAAAAATATTAAAAGAAATTAGACAATAGTTATTGTGGAACATTACTCAAAATGTTCCTCTCTGATGTCAAAGACTTGAACCTGGGCTAATAAAGCAATGCAAAAAAACACAGAGGAAAATCTCTGTAGGACAACAGCTCTGACAGGGCCCTTCCCCAGCCTACCTCAGTCAGATGGATTCTCACTTACTTAGGCACAAAAGCAGCAGGGACTCCATTGGCCACCAGGGGCTCAAATGCTGAATGTCCGCTCCCACTGCTATCATGGCGCCTGTGACAAATCAAGAAACCCTCAATTAAATGAACTGACTTTTTTTCCCTAGAGCATCCTCTCATACTCCTGGAACCTTATACTGTTTCTATGGCACACAGAAATGGCTAGACAAGAAGAAGCCGCTTCAAATCCTAGAGACTCTGAAGGGCAGACTTAGTCTAAGACTGTCCTCTAATAACGAGGATACAAATGCTCCAAGACCTTTTGAACTTATTCAGGTGTTATGATTTGCTAACTTCTCTCCCAAGTGCTACTATCACAGTACCCGACCGTCCACAAACAAAAAACAAAAAACAAAAACATTTTAGGGGCTAACCCACACATCCCATAGTGCTCTAGAGGTTAATATGGCAAGTCTGTTAGGGAAAACTTCACATATCACACATAAGGGCCTACGCATGGTCCCATAATCACTGCTTTCTCCAAGTGTGAGAAAGATAGTACAGAATCCTCAGTTATAGGCTCACTGGGGTCAAGAAAAATTTTAACCTTGGCGAATATGAGAGACTTATCTGGATCATAAGGAAGATGATTCCCTTTCCCACCTCCCCCACTCCTTGCCACCCCTGCTTAGCCAGTTGACATCAGTTCAAATTGCTCACCTATAAATCATCTCTACTCATCATTAGATCTTCCTATGTCACATAAAAACACTTCCATTTATTAATATCTCCCTACCTAACTTTGCACTGGTAGTACCAAAGACGGCCAACTTTGTAGGATATGAACAATCTGGTCTAGGTAATGGTTACATTTAACAAGTGTGGGGTCCACTGTCTCCTCAGAGTGCTTCCTTGACCAATGTATAGAAAGAAACCCCCTTCTCATTATCTGTTATAGCATCCTGTTGTATTTTTTTTTTTTTTACTTCTATACACATACAATCTAGAATTCCTTATTTTATTATCCAAGTCCCATGGGGACTCTGTCTTACTCATTGCTCTATCCACAGTACCTGGAGTAGGTCCAGGCACACATTAGGTGCTCAATCTGTCAAATTAAAAGATGCGTGAAATTCTTAACTGATTCTTGGAAAGCAGTTATGCATCATACCTAGTGACTTCAACCTCTGCTCTTTCCACACTTAGAGGAGACAGATTGCTTATTCCATTTTCATTAAAATATCAGAAACCAAATAATGAAATTGGTTTTACTCTCATTACTGATAAATCTACATTATTCCAGTCTTCACTTTGCTTCGCCAAGCATTTCCTCCAGCACAAATAGGACATTCGAATGGTGGTTACCCAAATAATTAAGCAACACAAGCTACTGAAGGGAAGATTTTTAGCATTCCCTCTAAAAAAAATAAAATTTAGCACATTTGTATCAAAAGTATGAGGCTAACATGGCTAACAGCTGTCAGCTTATCTCTTAATACTTGTGGAAAAGGTTAAGTTATAAAATTTAACCTGTACCGTAGGAAACTAACAGCATTAAACCCCTTGTTACCAAGCTCTTCCATGGAATGCAAAGAAGGGCACCTACTGAAGCTCAGAAACTGTGGAGTTGGTCTCTGTTTCTTCTTGGGAGTGATCTGTATATCAACAAATCACAGGAGTCTGTGTGGGAGGCCTGTTTAGTACTCTGCGGGGCCTGTTACCTTCTTTTATTTTCCTGGCTATCAGAAAATATTTGGTCTTCCTCCTCCACTGTCCTTTTCTTCCTCTCCTTGAGGGCACTCAGTACAGTCTCTTTTGCACATGGGTCTGGAGCATTACTTGATGGTGAGGACAGTGTTGAGTTGATTGTCTGCTCTGGTCTGTAATGAAAAACAAGATTCTGGCATTAAGATATGTTAATAACCATGCATATAGCACGGACTTCAGTCACTGGAAATCAGAAGCTATCTAATAAGCAAAAGTATACACTGATAGAAACTGCCCTTAGAATTAAAGCTACCGTCTAAGGCCAAAACAAAAAATGCTGTTCAAGGACTAGAGTTAGGGATTTCTCATTCAAATAAGAACTTCTTCCCTTTTTTGCTTTATAGTTCTTTTGTCAGAGGAACGGCTGTGGAAGAATAAGTGGAAATAAACAGGAAAGTTTATTCTGCCAGCAGTAATACTCACATTGGCGAACGAGTCCATTTACTATCCGGAGGAGCAATCCTCACTGTCACTGGGCTGCACACCATTTTGGAATTACGAGGAGACAGCACAGCCTTCTTGTGATAACCATTCCAGCACACTGTAGGAAGTACGCCCAGAAGGGAATACTGGGCCTGCTGGATTGGATATCGTCTTCGAGGTGTTATCACAAACCGGTGTGATAAACTCCCACAATCCCTAGGGAGAATGGGAAACACATTATAGAACCAAAGAAGCCTGAAGGAATGGCAGAAATGTAAATTACTAAAGAATCACGTGGGTTCAGTTATCTTCCAGAGAGCTTAAACTGCTTTAAAAAAAAAAAAAGGTTTTATTTATTTATTTAGAGAGAGAAAGCTAGCACACGCGGGGGAGGGGCAGAAGACTAGGGAGAGAAAAATCTCAAGCAGACTACACCCTGAGCATGCAGAGCCTGATGCGGGACTTCCTCTCACAACCTTGAGATCACGACTGGAGCCGAAACCGAGTCGCAGGCTCAACTGACTGAGCCACCCAGGCGCCCCTTAAACTGCTTTTTGAGCCACAAAAAAACCCACAGCATTTTTATGGCAACGTTCCCCCATTCCATCTAAGGATGGAAAGTGGCAGCTGCTTAGCAGCTGTCCCTACAATGGACTTCAACAACTTTGAGAGGGAAATTGAAAACCCTGCCCACACAAGTAAAACTGCGATGGAAGAAAAGTGCGCGTTAGGACATGCAAGGAGGAACTTTTAAAAAATTCTTAAATCTTTTCAATCTTTTATGCTGAGTCATAAGTAATAAACATCCAAAGTCAAACATTTTTGACACCTAAGTTCATCTTTCAACTGAATGTACTTATTGATAATCTAGTATTTTCACCAAAGTTTTGTATTCTCTTGTAATGCTCAGCTATTGGGACTAAATGGAAAAGCCTCTTTAATTTGATCACCTTTATCAATCAAGTTTTATATCAAAAGAAGGGTCTCCTGGGAACACCTCTTTGAGCTCGGCTAACTGACCTAATTGCTCTTATTGGTCCAAAGGAAAAATACAACAAAATATACCATATTATCTACTCTAGAAAGGTCAAGATACTTTCACCATAAGTAGGGATATTTTAGTAACTTATCAAGTATTTTTCTAAACGCGGTTTTAAAAACTGTAAAGAAGGGAACAGCTCTGGCATCACATCTCATTCCAAAGGCTCAAGGAAGGCAGGGGACGACTGACACACACCAAGGTGTTTCAAGAAGACAAAGCGACACGGAATCCACTTTTGACTTAATGAAAAAGAAAATCAGATTTAAAAAGTCAGGCTCTCCATTCAAAGCCAGTCGACAGGAGGGGGTGGGAAAGATGAGCAGATCTTACCGGAGGGAAGGCCTCCTAGAGGATCGGAGAAGAGGAGTGGGGAGAGAGGGGTAAATGTGGTGCACACGATGGGCCGAGGGCGCGGGCGGCGCGGCGCGGGCGGGAGTGCGGCGGCGGCCAGGCCTCTCCAGCAGGTCCCTGGCCTCCGGGGCGGGGGCAGGCTGCGGGGGGCCGGGCTTGCCCAGGTAACTGCCCATGAGGAGCAGTTCGGCGGGGTCCGGTCCTTCGAGCAGGGACCTCGGCTCTAGGAGATTTCCGTTCACCGCCGACTTGGCTGGAGGCGAGGCGTGCAGGGTTCGCTGACGCCGCGCGTTCCTAACGAGCGAGGAGAGGGCGCGCGAACCGCGGGGCTCGCGGCTCAGTCCCCACCAGGCCGCGGTGGCCCCCACGGCCAGCCAGGCCAGCGCCGCCGCCGCCGGCACCAGGTACAGCACGAGGCCGAACAGCGACAGGCCGAGGAGCGCCGCCCCGGCAGGGCCGCCGCAGCCCCCGCCCCGGCTCCGGCCGTCCCTGCCGCTCGCTATCGGCCTCCGCCGCTCGCCTCCGCCAGCCGCCGCAGCCGCCGGAGACATCGCGGCTCCGCGCCGCGGAGAAGACTTAAATATCCCAGCGTGCACCGCGCCGCGCGCCGCGTCACCGCGCGCTGGCTGCGTCACTGCGCAGGCGACTCGTACGCGCGACTGCTGCGGGCAACGCCGCTGCTGCCTGGCAACGCGCTAGACCCGACCCCACTCTGCAAATGCGGCCCCCAGAAACAGCGAGGTCGTCTTCTCGAGGCTTCCTCGCGTACACCGCGCGGCACCCATCCCGAGGTGACCCGATAGAAGAGTCGCGTTAAAAATAAAAGCTCCGGAAAGCGACCACTCAAGTAATGCTTGATCCATGTTGTTTTGTAGAGGGCTGAACTCCCCGGAAGAGGTTGTTACCGGGCACGTTTTTCACGATTGCTACCAAAGGTGGTGAGTTTTTCAGGTGCCCTCTTTCTGCCAAAGGGGGTTTACGTGCACAGCAACAGTGAAAAGCCAGACCAGCCCAAAACAACCACTCTTGTTAAATGTGGATCTAATTCTTTTTTTTTTTTATTAAAGATTCTGTTTATTTATTTGACAGAGAGATAGCGAGAGCAGGAACACAAACGGGGGAGTGGGAGAGGGAGAAGCAGGTTTCCCGCAGAGCAGGGAGCCCGATGTGGGGCTCAATCCCAGGACTCTGGGACCACGACCCGAGCCGAAGGCAGACACCCAATGACTGAGCCACCCAGGCGCCCCTAAATGTGGATCTAATTCTAATAAATTCCCGATCAAGCAGTCTAATAGTCTAATATATTGCGGATCAAACCTGAAGCTGCAAGCTAAGTTTGATTTCCTGCCGTACAAATTGGTTAAGTGAAACAGTTATCTACCAAATTTCACATCATGGTTCAGAATCGGGTAGATTTTGAGGATTTGTGATCAATTTACCTATGTTAAATTTGATGGTCTGGGAAAATGGATTAGTGGTTGGCGAGGGCTGGGGAGTGTGTTGGGGGTCGGAAATGGAGAATGACTGCTAAAGGGTAGGGTTTTCTTTTTGAGGGGGGACAAAAAAGTTTTAAAATTAGATTATGGTGGTGGTTGCACAACCCTGTGAATTCTACGGTATGTGAATTATAGCTTAATAAAAGCATTAAAAAAAAACCTTGGTGGTCTGCCAATTCAGATTTTGATCTAGCTCAGCTTCCTTGGCCATTCATTCACTCCACTACTGATAGACATGAAAGGGAAAAAGACAGGGTCTCTGATTTCTAGAAGCCTTCTGTTTAGTGGATAAGAAAGATGTGTAAGTAGAAAGCTTTGATTCATTGTGGCCAGCATGATAACAGAGGCACAAAAAAGAGAGGGAATGATAAGGGGGAAGACAGACTGGGAGGTGTTTCTTGAGGAGACAAGAACTGGGTTCAAGGCAGATGCAGGAGCACTGTGCAGAAGCACAGAGATGGAAAGGAGTATGGCTGGAAATTGGGAGGTCTGAGGGAGTAGAGAGGTTAGAATGATAGGCAGGGCTCAGTAAAGAGGTCTCTGGAGCAACCTCAAGAGATGAGAAAGGCAGTCAGTTCTCCCCAACCCACTGCGAGGGTAATTCTGCTTCTGTTTGATTTCACCAAAGACTTCATTTGAAAAGAAAAGGGGATGGGCTGTTTTACTTAGGAAGAAATCTCAGCAGCAGCAGTGGAAGAGTGGGACAAGAGCCCAGCTGCAGCGAGTTAAACTATGGATGGAAGACCAGGAAGTGGAGGCACAGTGAGTGCAGATTTCCCATTCACGGAATCTGGATAAGGAAGAACAAAGTATCTAGCGCAGCAAGGGTCCTTAAATTATCATACATTACTGGTATTTACAGGAGGAGCCAGACGTAAAAGCCATCAGTGTACACATGCCGTAAGACAAAGATTACTTGGGAATTAATGTACATAGAGAGGTCTGAGACTTGAGCCCCACGGCACTCCCGTGTTTAGGGGTCGAAGAAATAAACACACAAACCTGCAAATCATTTAGTAAAATATAAATATGACTACATTAAGATTTAACACTTCTGTAGGGGGGGGAAGACAACACAGGTGCTAAAAGACAAGCTAAGACTGAGAAGAAACAACTAACTCATACAAAAAAACCTCATAAAGGGGCGCCTGGGTGGTTCAGTTGGTTAAGCGACTGCCTTCGGCTCAGGTCATGATCCCAGGGTCCTGGGATCGAGTCCCACATCGGGCTCCCAGCTCAGCGGGAAGCCTGCTTCTCCCTCTCCCACTCCCCCTGCTTGTGTTCCTGCTCTCACTGTCTCTGTCTCTGTCAAATAAATAAATAAATAAAATCTTTAAAAAAAACACACACACAAAAAAAACCCTCATATAACTCATATTTAAAAACCATGTAACTAGAATTTATAAGGAACTCCTAAGAATCAGCACAAAAAGACTCAACTGTAAAAAAAGGACAAGTGATATAAAAATGTAATTTATTGAATAGGAAACCCAAGTGGCCAATAATAAATAAATACATATTTACATGTATATCTGTATATACCTCACTAGTAATCTAGGAAGGCTCTACTGAAGTAACAAGAAACCATTGTGCATTCCTTTGCATAAGCAGAAAAAATTTAATAGTTCAACAAGATCACATTTTGGCAAGGATGTGGAACAAATGGAATGGACATGTTGTTTGTGGATACATAAAACTGTAATTTGGAAAGCAATTTGGCAATATAAGACTGAAGAAATAGGTACCTTATAACCTTGCAATTCCATTTCTGCGTACAAAGACAGTCATTGCAGCATCATTTGTATTACTGACAATTTGAACACACCTAAATGTCTAATGTCTACCAACCCAAGAATGGAGGAATAGTGGTATAATTCATATAATAAAATATTATAAAAGCAGCTGAAAATTAACCACCTTTCCAGCCATAATTAAGGGATTCCAGGCTAGTCCTCCCACCATGAACAGGTATAAAAATGGACAAAACTTATGAAGCAACTACTTTCAGACAAAGAACAATAGGAAGGGCAAGACTGATCCCTGAGAGGAAACTCATGAAGTAAGCCCCTAAAATCACCGAGTTCCTCTAAGTGGGGACAATTTCCCAAGTGTAGTGCAGACAGCTAGAGTATGAGCAGAGTGGGGAGATCTGAGGAGGCAAAAATAGACTTCAAGACAGCTGAAACTGCTGGAAACCACTGGGCAGAGCAACAGAAAGGAGGGTGTCATGCAGACAGGGAATTCCAGAAGTCTATGTGTGAGTCCCCTAAAAATCCGTGGCTGAAACTGGCATGATGATTAATTTTATGTCTCAACTTGACTGAGCCTCAGAGTGCCCAGGTACTTGGTTAAAGATTATTTTGAGGTTAGTCTATGAGAGTATTTCTGGATGAGATTAACATTTGAATTGGTAGACTAAGTAAAGAAGATTGATCTTCCACAGTGGGTAGGCCTCAGCAAATCTGTTGAAGGCCTGAATAGAACAAAAGGCCTGGGTAAGAATTCTCTCTGCCTGGCTTTTAGCTGGGACATTTGTCTTCTCGCTTCTGCTTTCAGACTTGAACTTGGAACTCACACTATTGGCTCTTTTGCTTCTTAGGCCTTTGGCCTTGGACAAAACTATACCATTGGCTCTCCTGGGTCTCCAGCTTGTCGACTACAGATCTTAGGACTTCTCAGCCTCCATACTGCATGAACCAATTCCTGATAATAAGTGTGTGTGTGTGTATCCATCCTATTGGCTCTGTTTCTCTGGAGAACTCTAAATAATACAGCCAGGCGGTATATGCACAGAGAGACTCCCTGAGGCTTACTAGAAAGCAAAGTACTAAATGGGTTAAGATTAGAACAGAGATATTAAAGTTAGGGCAATCCTGGGGTAAGAGCATTGCCAGGGGAGTTCTGGTCTTACCAAAATGGAGAGATCTCATAAGTGCATCTTTAACATCCTTGGAATACAGTTGAAACAGCAGAAAGGTTACAACTTGAGGTAAGGATCATAGTCTAGACTAAGATCTATTCTAGGTCTGCCTTAATAAATTCTAAAATCAAACCATGACAAGATCCATAGGAAACAAGTTTGGAGGTTGAGTCTCGCCAACTTAGTGGGGCTTGGGAAACACTCTAGGCTCTTCAGTGATGTATAAAGACAAAACAAAACCAAGTATAAACAAGTGTAAGGTCATTAGCCAATAATTACATTGCCTGCCAGAACAAGAATCCATACACCTCATGGAGAAATAACAGACTTCACAGTATTGTTCACAACGTACAATATTCAGTAAAAGCCCGTTAGACATACAAAGAAACAAAACAATGTGATCCATAGTCAAGAAAAAAAGTAGCATATAGAAATGAACCCAAGGCGGTCTAAATGTTAGACTTAGCCAACCAAGATCTTAGTGAACTATTATAAATATATCCAAAGAATTAAAGGAAAGCATGGTCTTAATAAGTAAATAGATAAGGAATCTGCCCAGAAATGGAAATTATAAGGAAGAAACTAACAAATGCTAAAACTAAAAAATAATTGAAAATGTTTACTAGATAAGCTTACCAGCAGATTGGAGACAGGAAAATAAAGTCAGTGGACTCAAAGGTCAGCAGAGTAATCTCATAATGAACAGACCCTCCAGGATCTATGAATCAGTATCAAATAGTCTACCATACGTGCAACTGGACTCTCAGAAGGAAACGTGAGACTGGGGCAGAAAGATATATTTAAAAAATAATGTCTAAATTGCCCCAATGTGGTGAAAAATTACAGCTTAAAGATCCATGAAGCTGAACAAACTACAAAGCAACTAAAACAACTGCAGCTTCTAATCAGAAACAAGGTAGGCTAGGGGTGCCTGGGTGCCTCAGTCGGTTAAGCGGCTGCCTTCAGCTCAGGTCATGATCCCAGGGTCCTGGGATCGAGCCCCGCATCAGGCTCCCTGCTCGGCGGGGAGTCTGCTTCTCCCTCTCCCTCTGTCTGCCGCTCTGCCTACTTACACTGTCTATCTCTGTTAAATAAATAAATAAATAAATAAATAAAATCTTTAAAAAAAAACAACAAGGTAGGCTAGAGGACAATGAGAGAGTTTTTTAAGTGCCAG